TTAATATTCACTTACAAACCAACACTAGCCAACTATAATTTTTTGAGCATTGAATTGACTTTATCGCACTTTGATATGCAACAACACCAACACTTGAATTTTTCCACATTTCACCGGTGCCATTAAGGTGTTAAACGTTTTTGGCATAAATTGAAATTTTATTCACACCTGCAATAGGTAATTTTCTCGCACATCTCTTAATTTGAAGCGCTTCAAACAGTGCCGCTAATCGCTCTGATAACATTAATGCAATGCAATGAGCGAAAAAAAAAAATTTTATTTGAATTAATTTGAATTGAATTAGAGTTTTGTTTGAGCAGAGTAAATAAAATGCTGAAATTTCAATGAAACTTTTTAAAATTTCGGCAATTGTTAAAATTTAGTTGAAAAACGTGAGGCAGCAAAGTGATGTACTTATATACACATTACAAATATCGCTTTGATCAGGAAATGTAGCAATTCTAAGCGACCAACAGTAGATAAATTGGATTTTGGCCGATCCGAAACAGTTCAGGATCGTTGAAGTGGGTTGAGAAATGACGTTCATACTTATATACAATATTATGTCGTAATTATTGCCGGTGTGATAGCTGTTTGGCTTCGTGTAAATCATATGTACACGAGTGCATTAAATATTCCGCATATATTACGAACAAAGTTAGCTCATAATATTCTCTTCACCACCTACTCTCCTCTTATGGACAAATCCTGATGCTACTTAAAAATATCTTTGAATTTCGTTTTCCTCAATGAATTTAGCCTTCATTATCGCGGCATCTTCACCGCCCGATAATGAGCCGAGCATCCTTCAAGTGCCTGCTGCAAGCACAAGAACTCTTACAGACCAAAATTTTTTAATTTTTTTTTTGTTATAAGCTCTAGAGATGAAATAACTGTTTAGTGTGACTGTCACTTTTGACAGACGGTATCATTGCGAAAATACTTCAGTTGCGACTATCAGTAGACAAATTGGTGAGTCGAAAACCCTTTCATGATAATTAATAATAAATAAAAAAATGGTCGAAGATTGATGATGGCAAGCTTTATTTTAGCTTAAAAATCGCCAATTCTTATGTGTATACGTATGTTTGCCAGAATGCTACGTAATGCTCAAAAAATTAAAAAAAAACTTATATTTTTGTTTATATAAATATGCTTGTAGTTTGTATACAAGTATGTAAATAAACAAAAATAGTGATTATTTAAACACTCTGCAGCGCGTAGCCTACAACAGGCGAATTAATTTGCTATCTTTGACGGTCAGCGCTCGCCAACTCGCACTTTGTTTACCCGCGAGTATTTATCTATTTACTTTTTTTCCTAATTTCTGCAATCCACAAGATATTCGCGCAGTTATCGAGAAACATTGGGAAGAGTTGGAGAAACATTGGGAAGAGGTTATGAAGAAGGGGAGAGAACATTATTAGTGTGTGTGTTTGTATGTATACATAAATATATGAACATATGTACTGCGCCTACCAATAGGGATGACGGGATTTTGATTTGCTTGTTTACGGATTTGTGTTAAATTTTGTCAGTGCGTTCAGTATGGTTTGCCTTTTCATCATGTTTTCTGAAAAATTCTGCCTTAACGGCTTCGTCAACAAACAAAATTGTCACTATTGGAGTGAGTCAAACCCTCGTGTGCTTCAGGAAACACAGTTGCATCCCCAAAAATTTACCGTTTGTTGCGTATTGTGGTATGGTGGCATCATCGAACTTTATTTCTTTCGAAATGAAGCAGGTAAACTATTTTCTCTCAGGATATGTTAAATAAAAGGTTTACGCCATTCAACGAGCAAAACTCGAAGACAACATTTAGCATACTATAGCCGAAATGCTGCACTGAAATTGGCGTAAACGGGTGGTGATATGCAAACGGTGCCGCGGTGGCCATTTTGCCAACATATTTTTCAAATCATAAATGCCATAAAATTATCTGCTTAACAAAAAACCAGAACCCATTTTGATCAAATTTGAGTGTTTTAATTTATTTTAACATCATGTCGCTCTTATTGGTATACCCTTTTTAAAAGTATTCTAAACATTTGGTTGCGTTCATAAATTTTTCATTATATTAGCGGGAAAAGTATGTAGAAGACACATAAACTTCGCTAAAAATATAAAAAATCAATTGAAATGAAATTGCAAATAAATTTAATGTGGTTAATATACTATTTATACAGAAACAAACCTGGTACTTCCTGATACTTATTAGCGTATACTCGTACTATTAAGTGTAGCTCTCATAACGTGTTCGAGTGCTCTTTCGCTCATGCTCTGTTTGGTTTTGCTGTAGTAATACCTTTATACCAGTTGTTTGTTCGATTCGTAATTCCAAGTTTATACCAGTTAGGTTGGTTTGTTGTCTGGCTTAAACAAGTCACCTTCTAATAAGAAATTGGGAAGGACTACTGAAATAGTCATACTATATATATTACTTGTTTTCTGGACATCTAACTACTTTTAGGCTTTCAAAGGTATTTTACTTATTTTCTGGAACAACTACTTTCAGGAAAACCACGAAGTAATATATTGTGTGTGCAGCGGTTTGAGCTAGAATATTTTGTAGTAAGCTGACACATCGATCGAACTATCAGAAACGAAAAATACCTTATCACCCTTACGTTTTGAAAAGGGCAGAACATTTTGTATTTTTTCACGTTAGAAAGCAACATTCTGACAAAATAATACGTAACTCTGACAGCCTGGGCGTAGGGCAAAATAAATGCAACATTTTTGTGAGAAAAGATAAAGCTATAAGTCAACAAGTTGTAGTGAGATCGGTTTTCATATTTTTCTTAGCGTTCCAGTAATCTAAGGTTATTTTATAAAGAGAAAAAGATAAAGTGAATTCCTTTTAAGAATATTGTGTGAAAACACTTCATATTAAAATCCTTATATCAAAGAGGTACTGAAATACGCAACATGTTGCCAGAGCAAAGAAATAAAAATGTTGCCAATTGATGTTGCTAGCCTGACATTAGCAACAATGTTGCTAAACATTAATGTTAATATTTGCTACGATTTAAAATGAATTTCGGTAAAAGTGAGGACTGACGTATATCCAAGGGTGGCTTGCCAAGTGCTACTATGCTGTGCGCCCCAAGTAATATTATCTGAAATAGGTTCACACAATAGGTTGTTGGATAAAATATAAATGAGTATATGTTTGAGAGTATATGCGAGGTATAACATAAATACGCATAAATTCGATAGTTTCAAAGTAAATATGTAAATAACGACGAATTTCATTTAAACATCTTGCAACAAACACAACTCCCAGCGATCATCACTTCATCAACTTTCCACCAATGCGCCTTTCATCTAATCCTGCTGCGATAGTCAATCGCTCAATGCGGTAATTAAACTTCATCAACAAGCGGACACAAATTAAAGAAACACAAACACACGCAAAAATAAACTTACAGCCGAAATACAAACACAAAAACTCACTTCCTTAATGAAACGAAAAGGCAAATAAAAAATTTAAATAAATAGACGAAAAATTACAAGCACTCACATTTATATAGTATGCGCATATGCTGTTAACAATTTTGTTTTTGTTGTTGTTGTGCTACACACAAGTCAGTTGGCCAATAAATTGGCATTTGTTTGTGTTGTTTTGCGTTGTCGATAAATACCGCAGCAACAATATCAGCGTGTGATATGCTGCAACAAACACACTTCTAATGCATCGACACACACATGCACATATAAAATATGTACAATGTGTGTGTGTATTGCTGTATATATATTATGATTACTCGCCTGACTTCAAAAGGGGCGTGTGAACATGCAAAATCTGTCAGCACCTCATCAAACAGCGCTACAATATGTGTTGTTGCAAGCGTCACTGCAAGCCGCTGCTACCACATGTTGCACCGCCTTGTTGTTGCAAGTACAAAAAATACACCACTCAGGAGTAAGGAGGCCACCAACGTGGCATAGTTGCCACTTGAATGTGGTTTGCCACAATTTGTTGTTTTCGTTTTTTTGTAATATGTACATATGTATGTATATATCTTATTTTTGTTGCTTTGTTGTTGTTTAAGTTGACAACAAAAGACGCCGCGGTAATTAGTCATTATTGAGTCATACAATAACTCGTCAATCAATGCAACAAGTAGGCCAATTGAAACAGAGTTTACAGTGAGTGATGAGCGGAGAGGAAGTAGATGAGTATAGTGGGAGGGAGTAAGAGAAATAGAGTGAGACAGACGTAGCAAAAACTCAAAGTGACGGTACTTTTACAAAACAGAAAATTAAATTTTTACCATACTTATCCGCTCTTCTTAATAGAAACTATGTATTCCTTTTTCGACTTTAGCCTTAGGAAGACTAAATTAATATGGCGAAAGAGTTTGGAGCTACAAAACGAATACTGACTTTTTGGTAAGTTCTATCATTTTGTTGAAAAAGTAAGTCCATATATGATTGTGGAGAATACCTGAAACAACAACCCTCCGATGGTAGATCGTCTACCGAGTAAGATGCTCAAGAGCATTTAAATATCACGGAAATTGATTTCCAAAACCCCCCTTTTGTTAGAAAACTCATTTTTACATTTTTAAATTCGAATTATATTGAACTTTGAGGAATATGTTTGCCTTAACGGCTACTTAGATCAAACAAATTTAGGTAATTGAAGAGCGAACAATACTGAAAAATCATCTTCAGGCGCCCTTGCTCACAGAAAAAGTTTTTGAAACATTACCTTATTGGTACGAACTTTTTGTTATGGAGTCATATTAAGAGAAACGTCTCAATTAGTTTCAAAATCCTGTTATCTGATTACGGCATTATAAGCGAGATAGTTAGAATCTATAAGCTTTTCAAGAGACACAGCCCCAACCTATGAATCTAAAAATCTCTTCTAATGCCATATAATTTTCAAGTTAAGATTTCCAAAATATTGACCTTTCCATACACTTTTCTTGTTTTTTTTGTCGGAACTAAATAGTTATACTACTAAAAGCAGTATTTTCTATTTTTTATAGATCTTCGTGGTACGAAAAAGGCTAGAGTTCTAGGTGAGAACTTCCAAGAAGCTTCAAAGCTTAACTTCGTACGTGATAAGGGTAAGTCATTCTAATAACTAAAATATGTATGTTTAAAGCTTAGACTAATAAAAAGAAGAACAGATAGAGATGTAATGTGGTCTATAGAGTATAGTTATTGCTGCCTTACTTAGCTTCTCAAAAAGTGCAACTTTAAAAAATTGCTTAGAAAACACAAGGCAAACTGTTAGAGACACAGCATGATCGCATTTTCTCCACATAATCAAAAGATGTAGCTGCTTTTCAGCTGCTATTTCATTTATACCACTAAAAGAAGTTAGGAATTAATGAAACAAACATACTGGGGTATTCATAGTTCTTTCGCGTCGAACTACTTTCTGCGCTTTCTTGTTGATCGTTTTCGGCTCTTTCTTTCCTGAAGTAGTTTGCGTGGAAAATAATAGCATAGGTTGTTGTTTTAATAGCAAAATCTTTGAGGAAACAGTTTCTGGCTTATACGACCGACGATTTTCGATATATCAAACCAACTGTCTGAAAACTAAAATCAAGGTCTTGATCCTTTCATTGATCTTTAGGCCGAGCTTTTTTTGCTGTCGTAAGGCTTAAAATTTGTATGGAAGTCTGAACTGTTTAGCACTTAAACAAGTTAGCTCGTATCTTCTAGAAAAAAAATCAAAAATTTCCATTATTTGCCACAAAGAGTGGGAGAGCGCCAAAGTTGTTTACAAGTTTCCTAAGAACCGTCCTCCACTTTTTCGTATTAATTTGAAATTCTTATTAACAGAATAGCCGTAATTGTTGCATTTCCCGTAAATTTATTCAAAAAGTGAAAATACTTAATCGCAAACAAATGCGCAGCCAATCACAGGTATATGAAGGACCTGGTGCTAAGACAAGGGCACACTCACACGCATACCGTTTAGAAATATGTATATGTGCATGCCACATATGCTCACTATACAGCACGGACACAATGCCTGGCTTCTGTTTAATTTCAATTCAATTCATTTTGAACGGTGAAAAACTTGGAAAACTAACAAACAACATCAAGTAAACCCAGCGGCAGCCCAGCGTTGCGCGGCAGCTAGAAGAACGAGCGTTGGTTGGGTGGCAGCAAGTGTTGTTGGCATGACAGCGCACATATATATATATACATACATACGGCGTGCAGTACTAAAGTCTACAGCAACAACACTTATTTAAATGCTCGTACTCGCGTGAAAATTTCATGCTAATTAATTTCAATTCGATTTTATCAATATTTCCAATAAAAATCAATCAACAACCGTCGCAATTAATCAACATCAAAGCAGTTAGCTGGGCCGATCCTTAGGTTGAAAAGCCAAGAACCCGCCTATATGAACGCTTGTCTGTTTGTGTGTAAGTGTCTGCGTGTTTATTTCGCTTGAAAAGTTATATATTTTGGTAGCTTGCTAGTGTTTTTCGAAAGTGTGTCTGGCTGTCATGCTTTGTTATGTCTGCAGTGGAAATTTCGCAATTTTTAATTTAATTAACAAAATCGAGCGATTTACTTTTAAATACTATACTCGTTTATGCATCTACATACTTGTATATATAAATATTTAGATATATATATATAGAATATGATAATTTATAAATTTTCCATGTTTACACTGTGCGACAAAAGGCTGGAAGCATTTTAGACCGCACTGCAAGTATTTGCTACTGTAAGCAAATTAGTGAGGTTGGCTTTTTACAGTTATTGCAAAAAATAATATATTATACATATGTATGTTATTTATCTGCAAATTCCAACGCGCAAGAAGCCTAACATAAAAGAGTTTGAACCAAGGGTTAGGTCTGGTTAGAAAATACCATTACTGAAAAAGTAATGCATGTGGTAAGCTATCTTGCCAAAACGAAACGTTATTCTCGATTGGTACACAATACAATTTCATAGAACTTGGGGTAGTTCTCAACTCGCACGAAAAATGTGTCAGCAATACTAGAACTCGGTGGAGAATAGCAATCTTTTGATCGTTTTTCTCGATCTCGATTTGTGAATAAATAGAATAAATAAAACAAGTAAGGAAGGGCTAAGTTCGGATGTAACCGAACATTTTATACTCTCGCAAAGTCAAATGGTATACTCGTTTGAGATTTCTTTGTGGATTGACTGATATTTTCGGTAGAAGGTCAACTATAGGCACTGGGGTCCACATATTTAGTACTTAGGGGTTTGAACAGTTTTGGTTCGATTTAGACAATTTTTAGCTGCAAGGTGGCATACTTTAATTGCATTATTCACGCAAAGTTTTACGCCGATATAATCATTGTTGCTTGATTTGCATAGTGAAAGAAGTGAAAGAATCAAGTTGTATTTAAAATGGTGTCATATGGAAAATAGGCGTGGTTGTAATCCGATTTCGCCCATTTTCGCACTATAACATAGAAACATGAAAAGAACGTTACGCACCGAATTTGGTTGAAATTGGTTAAGCAGATCTCAAGATATGAGTTTTCACCTAAAAGTGGGCTGTGCCACGCCCACTATCTAATTTTGAACGCGGTTCCTATAAAGTCATCTTATACCATGTCAGAGATAAAATTTAATATCTCTGGCGTGTTTAGTGTAGTAGTTTTTAACAGTACCGTTATATGGGGAGTGGGCGGAGTTGCCACCCGATTTGAACTATTTTCACACCGTCAATAGAAGTGCTAAAAACAGTGAATTTTGTTATTATAGCATAAGCGGTTTAGGAGATATGCACATTAAACCTTTTAGAGGCGGGACCACGCCCACTTTTTAAAAAAAATTCTTAACTGCGGATGCCCCTCCCTAATGTGATCCTGTGTACCATTAGTTTTAGGTGATACAAACAACCGTTAGGTGAACAAAACTATTATACTCTGTAGCAACAGGTTGCGAGAGTATAACAAGCTTTTTCGTAAAACTGACAAGCGCGTAAAATCCAATATTATTAATATTCTAATGCGGTTTGTTGTGTGATTTCTGAGCTTTATTTCTTTCCCCTCAAAGTTAAGCCATTTTGGGAAATTTGGACAAGACTGTAGTTGTCACATATTTTATATTTTTAAATTAACCGTTATGTATATTTTTCGGAAAAAACGAACATGACTTCGCAAATCGATTAAGATATAGTAGATTTTTGAATAACAGTCTTATGAAAAAGACTCGGCATGAAAATGAAGCAGTAGTAAATATTAAAATTCTGATTTAAATCAGCTATATATATACGCAATATACAGACTTATTGTGCAAATATAAAAAAAAAATATTATTAACATACAAGTAGTATGAAACTGTAAATTTTTTATCACTCTTGTTGTTTCTATCTCTCTCTTCTGAAGCTCTCTATTTAATGCAAACTTCTGCTGGTTTTAAATTATATCGAAAAATATTACGCCTTTTTTGATTCAGATGTAATTCAAATCTCTGACTATTTGCATTATAGCAGCCTAAAGTGTTTATGCATTAAAGCTTTTTTCATCGTTTCTGAACTTTTGAAACGGTTTGTCATCAAATTATTTCTTTAGCTTATAATTCTCATCAATTTTATGTAACTAAACACCTAAATATATTGCCTTCAAATGGTTTAAAAAGCGTGTATGATTTTATGAACTCTAAAAGTATGGCAAAAAGCAAGTTATTTGTGAGACTATACGATTAGTGCGGTATATGAAATTATATTTAAAAATTTACTTATACACATTTAAAGAAATCTTGCCTTTGTAGATGCGTTTTTCAACCAAACTCATATACCATATATGACAGATCGAATCAGGTGTGATATGAAATTTAAGCTCAATTTGGAATAAGTTGAAAACTAATTCATAATCAGTCGAGGCGTATGAGCGGCTTTTAATTTGAGCTTTAAACTTTGGTAAATTGTGGGCTTTATAATAAAAGTTTGTGCGAAAAATTTATTATTGTTCAAAATATTTTTTAATACTATTAGTAATTGAAATAACCGAACTATAACGCCTGGTTATAGATAAATGCACACGTACACATGTACTAATATCGTTAAGTGATTTCAGGTGAAGCACATCTGTTTTTGCCGCCAAAAATTATGAATCAATTTTGGCACGTACGCACCTGCAAGCGTTTACAAACAAACATATACATATATACATTTATATGCATATACATATGTATACGTTTGCAAAATTTTCTGATTTCGCACTTTCGAAATTTTATATCAAGATTTACTTTGTTGCAAATGAGCTGTTGGAAAAATCATGAAATGCATGAAAATATTGCGCATTGATCTATTTGGTTTGGTTTATCCAAAATTTCATATCACAAAATTATGGTGAATTTTCAAGGTGAGCGCTTGAATGGTTGAACGGCAGCGTGCGGGTCGGCAAATCCAGTGAAATGAATCGTTTTCCAATAAGCACACACACGCACACTGTTGGTGTATGTACGTTTGTATGTATTTGAGTTTCGTATTTGGCGGGAACACAAGCGGAAAAATATCACTTTGCACACCACATTTAATTGTATTCACCCATCGAATTAAGTGTATCGAACAAGTGGCAAATTATGCGCACGTTAAGTGTTGAAAGAGCGATTTTCTAAATAATACATACAGACATTTGTATATAAATAATCATCGTTTTTGGTTTACGGTTTCGAAATATTGATTGAACTTGCAGCAATGATCATTACTCTTATTAATAATAATAATCAATAGTTTAGTTATAGTATAGTTGTGTTGCGTTGTGAAGAAAGCAGAAGTACGAGTTCGTACAAATTAAACAAAGTGACTAACGGAATCAAGTGACTTACTACAAATCCGAAAATTGATATAGGTCCTAACTTAATAATCACAATCACCACACAAATCAGCGAACAGAGTTTTTCTAGGTGCTTCGAAAAAGCATCCAACCACCATTTATATCGATCATCGTGCTTATAACAATCAGCAGTGAAGAACCCAAACGTCAACATATAGAAAATCCTAAAAATTCGATTCAAAGCTACATACATAATTATCCATTGTTTGTTAAAAAGAACGTCACAAAAAAAAAATTAAACTTGAAAAAATTTGTGATCGCAGTCCTTTCATCTTACCGTCGTATGCACGAAGCACTTCTCGACGAAATCGGAGTTCAAAATGTCTGCTCAAACAACATAAGCCTTCCTCTTTAGGCCAACATACAACACTTAACGCAAATACCGCATTAGGATCTTTATACGAAATCGGCTCCAGTCTCTACTTTGTTCTTCGCGCTGAGTCGATTGTACTGTCTCTGTTTTCCAGCATGTAAATCTGCTAACAGTCAAGAAGCTAAACGTTTTTTATACACATTTTCTGGCAATATATCTAAAATAGAATTAAGGTTGCTTAATGTGCAGAAAACGATCTTTAATAAATCTAAATTAATCTAGATTTTGATCGAGCAGTTTTTATGACAACTATATCCCATAGTGGTCCGATATCGGCGATTCCGACAAATGAGCAGCAATTTGAGGTGAAAAAAACGTGTACAAAATTTCAAATCGATCTAAATTGACTCAGCTCGTCACGCTGATCATTTGTATATGAATTTGAATACACTTATACACGAATTTCGTATTGCAAAATAAAATTTATAATATCATAGTCATTGACCTTAGGTCTATGGACTCTTTGAAACATTCACTTTCCTTGACTATGCTTTTTTGGCGGTGCTCCAACTACATGCGTGTCTAGAAGTCTCGAGTGCATGCATATACGCGCATACATATGTACATATATTTGCTAACCTGCTAGCAAGTATTTTAGCTCACTCTTTGCAAAACGTCTTCAAAAACTTTAAGTAGTTCGGTTTCATATATTTATTTGGCATTTATTTACTATAATTCTGAAACTTTTATATAAATACTTAGATATATGCTAATGTATATAAATATTATCGAGGCCACCTGGAAATCGTGGCGCATCCACCGACACCTGCACGAGCTAAGCGCTGGCGTTACGCCCGATACCCAATAATTGTTTCTAACATTTCCCTTTAATCTGCCTTTGCCAAAAGCACTTGCTGCTGATTTGAATATTTTTTCTGACGTTTTGTTGTTGCCTTCTTGAATGCTATTGCGTTGTTGTTGCTGAAAGCACTTGTGTTTCGGCAATTAATCGCTTAACGCTTCATCAAAACTATACTACAACCGACTTGTTGCGAATCCAAACACATATACAGCTATTATATACAAATACAGTGATGGACAGGTGACTGGAAACGAAAAAAACAATCGCGTTTAGTATTTTCTTTACAATATCCAATTTAATTAAAAATCAGTTATGTAAAATCAGATTTAATTATACTGCATATTATTCCATATACAAGTATGTACGAGTACTACGACTCTAGATTTTTGTTACTGTTACTTCCTAGATTCAAACGCTATTTTTTTCTTTATCAACAAATTTATCGAGCTCTTTTATATACACGTATTACAATAAGGCATCAGCTAAAAGAACTTAACATTTTTGTCTTTTAACTTTACCTAATTATTTGACCACCACTGTTTGTAATCTTAATGAAAGCTATAATAATCTCAAAAGTACTATGTAAACACAAAAAAGTTTAATATATTATTTATGTAATATTTCGTTTGTATTTAATTTTTAAAGAGGCTTCTGAAAAAGTACCGTTTTATGAACCATATAGCGAAACTTTAGCACTTAAGGGGGTATTCTGGTCTAGAAATTTCAAGAAATAAATTTTTTCATATTTTCAAAGTTTAACTATTCAAGATTGTGTGTACGAGAGGATTTTCCGGAGATATAGGCATTTTGCTGGCGCGGCATTCAAACGAAACGAACGGCGGGCAAAACTTTAAACGCTTTTTTCTCGAAACTGTCTTTTTCAACCTGATACCCATGATATCTCAAGTTCTACTGGACCGATTGACTTGAAATTTTCAGGGAATCTTCCTCATAGACTCCTCTCGGCCATGAACTAGCCCCATCCCCAAATTCCAAAACTTAGTATTTTAAAAAAATTTGAGAAAGTCAAAAAAATGGTCCAAAAATTATGTTTTTTTTCAAACAGTCGCCATTTTATCAAAAAAAAATTTAATTTGTCCCTAGTTTATGACCTTGTGACATTCATGTAGTTTAATAATCTTTTTATTTTTTTCAATTTAGATCACTGGAAGGGATGAAATCATGGGTATGGCCACCTGCCAATTTTTCGAGACCCCCCACTTCATCGGCTGCTAAAATTTTGGATTTTGAAAAAAAAAAATTTTTAATTTTTTTCTGTACTCTTAAAAGGTTAATAAATAACATATAAAAAAATGTATAGTAAAAATATTAATTGTCTATTTTATACAGCACTTTAAAAAATACCTAAAAATCATGCTTCTAGACCAGAATACCCCCTTAAGTTCCCTCTAATAGTGTGATGGCGTACAGTCAATAATGCGTTCGATGAAATTAGATGCAAAATTTTATAGAAAATATTTTTTCATTAAGATGAGTCAGAAAAAGTACGTTGGTTTAGGTGTAAATAAAATTGAGACCAAATTTTTATTATTTATATATTTTTCCGGCAGAGGAAATCGCTCACAAATTATACCAAAACTATGCTTTGAGACTTGTTAAGTCTTATAGGGTGAGTTACCAATTCTGTCATCCATAACTGGCATTTCGGGTTTTATGCTTTTTCGATCGCTCGATTTTCGATTAATCTGATCCTCAGTGTAACTGCCTCTCGAGTTGTATCAAGCTTAAGCTGTAATATTACAAAATCCCGATTATATTTCTTGGTAAATAAGTCTACTTGTTTGGATCATTTATAGGCCCACTAATTCGGAGATCTGAATGATATTTACAAGCAAAGTATAGTTTGAAGAGTCTTAGTATACTTTAGATCTGAGGTATATTCGCTCCATCTAACTTTCTAAGAGGAGTTTTTTGGGACGATTAAAATTAATGATCTTCCCTTGGTGAAAAAAATATGAGGTTTACAAGAAAATTACTGTAAATTCTATGGTGATATGGAAAACAGCAAGCAAATATGTGTAAGCATTAAAAGCCTTCGAAAAAGATATTATGCATTAGGTCCTTGACCTACACAAATTAGGTGCGGATAAAGATAATGTGGTATCCAATGCTAAAAAATTTAAGTAGTCTTGTATAAAAGTCATCGGACCTGGAAATGTACTTTGTAATGATGGTGCACACCAAAAATATTTACACGAGAACGGTTGCAATTGATTATGCTACTGTCGAAAAGACTTCGAATGGATGCCAATTGGTGGAGGGTGATATCTTAGGCACCCCAATAAAGGTAGAGGTCAGACACAGAGGTATCTATCGGAACTACATCACTGACTAACAATTTTCTCAAGAAACCGGAACAATCTGTCTAAGATTTTTCACCAGCATATCGACTGTTGGATTTGCCAGATGCTGTTGTTGTTGTCGTGGCAAAACAATATCCCTGAAGTAGTTTGGAGGAATGCTGCCGAGTTGACAGTCTTTCGCCAGATAAAAATCCCTGTCCGTTCTGGTTACTTTAACCCGACTTCGAGAGTTTCGATTGCATATGTTACTCTGCTCACTGCCTTCGGTTCGCTTTGCGGTGTTTGACCGTTGGGTAATAGTCGCAATTATAATAATTCAACAACTCATTTTCGCAACACTCTCAGCTATTTTAATGGCAAAGCATGCTTCATATTAACTGTTATAAAGTGCAAGAAACTCCGCAACCAACCGCTCGAGACTTCTTCAGTCTCTCCATCCTGTCCTACTATTCTTGCACTGTGGGTGGTGTGCGTATTATCATTGCCTTAATGGTCTATCAAATTGTTTACAAGGCAATTCTTGTGGTGCAGCAATTGCAGAAGCACCGCAGCACCGCAGCCACAACTAATCATCAACATGAGTCCATTGCAACAGTGGCAATAACAACTACGCATGTAGTGTCTAATAATAATAATAACGGCAGAGAAGCAAAACGCTAACAATGACAACATGATCATCATCATCATCGCCAACATCATCAACGCCAACATCATCAACGCCAGCAGCAACAGCAACAACCATATCAATGGCATGTAAATTTGTTGCACAGCAATAGAAATAGTTGTGGCTGCATTGTTGCATTATTGACCTCCGTAAAATCGCAAATTTATTAGAACATTTTCGCATTTTTATTTGGTTGTGCGGCCAGACGGACCGGTGAAATGGTATATTTTTGAGAAGCCATTGAACGATGTGGATCAGATTGGCGTTTCGCGCGCATAGTGTTGGTCCGTAAGAATCTAGCCGTGATGCAGGAAGACTGTGCAACATCATCGTGAAATTGACAATTTACGATGTGCAGCATGCACAGCTTTATGCGGTTGAACCACGCAACGAAGGTGTTCTTCTTCCGTTCGAATGATTTGATGCAGAGGTGTGCTGACTTCCGTCATAATTAGGACAATAGCATCAGGAATAGTTGATACTTCAGTGTAGTTTAGTAGGGAGTTCTTATAGAGACAGCAACGTAGATAACTTATATATCACAAGCAACCTCTAGAATATATAAATTAGACTATTAAGATGAGACGCCGCTTCTGTCGACCCGCAGCACTCAATGCCAAGTCGATTCTAGTCGATATAAGCAACTCTTGCATACAGCTCCTACTTAGGCTTCTTCACTGTACTAGTTATAATAAGTTGTCACGCGATTTTTTGCAGCTGGAAATGGTATACATTGAATTGAAGGACTTACTCATAAACGCAACCGATATTTAGCGCACCATGTTTATTAATGGCATTATATTCGTGTCGATTGTAACAATTGCTCACTTCGAAGCTACAGTCCATTATCATTAACAAGGTTTCATAGGTCATTTGAGCGACAGAGCTCTTTAATTTTCGCACACTGGGTAAGAAGCAAGTGCTTCTTCGGCCCGAGACATCCCCATAAATGAAATATGGTACACTAATATGTACTATGATGCTCTACGGCACCACATCTTTCAACAATTCCTTGACTAATTTGTGAAGAATTTCATTCGATCTGTAGATAAAAACTATGAATTATATGGATCTGTCTCCTGAACGATCAAATGATCAAAATGAGGCTAATAACTTTTAGGTAACGGAAAGTGAGGTTGGCGTTAGTGTTAGGGAACGTTAACTAATATAAGAGAAATATCTTGAATACAGTCCTCGTTTCAAGTGATAGTTTCCTATAGAACAGCGTTTTGTACGCGGCTTGAAAGCGTTAAGTTCTCAAATGTAGGCCGCATATATGGCAGATTCTTGAAACGAAGAGGGAAATCGTAAATTTCAATGCACGCAAAGCAGTTGCACAAACTCGTATAGTTTTCCAACTTCAATGAGGTTGTTAAGAAAAAATAGTAGAATTATTGAATTGCTTCAATTGCTATTAAAAATCTACGCGAAATTTGAACTGCGTGTTGTATGGCTTATGATTTGAAGATTTTATGCCAGTTGTGTTTAGCCTTATAAACTTTTCTACCTTAGAAGTGTCTTATGTTTTCCTGCCGTGTATTTTATTCCATATTTCAACAATTTTCGATTTGTTTACATTGAGTATTTCCTAAATACATACTTACATACACACATACTCCTACATATTAAAATACATAGAATATCACACTTCGAAAATTAGACTACCCGTAGGGTCTTCGAAATTCTGGAAGCATACTCTTAAATAAATAATGTCTATGCGCTGAAATGAGTTTATAATATAATAGCAACAACATACAGACATACATAATTCTCGAAGTGACCTTTAAGTTTACTGCGAACAGGCGTTAATGATGATAGTGATTTGCTCGCTAGTGTAGCGTTTTATATTGCCTGGACTACCTTGAACTCGTTAAAAAACTGTTTCAGTTTGTTGCTTTGCTACATATTTCTTAATTCTTCATTCTTGATTTTTTGTTTGCTTTTTTTGTTTGGGTGATATATTTTATGAGTTTTTAGTTCATAATTTTTTAACATTTTATACAAAACGCTTTTGTTAATGATTGCTTAGCGTTGAGAATCCCATTGTATATATTTTATTCTAGATATATGGTATACATTCATTTGGAACCTATAAATTTTTTAATTTTATTTGAATCGTTTTTATTTTCGAGTTAGATTTATAGTTTTGAATTGAGTTTATAAAAAAAGAAAATTATAATTTGCATAATTTGTTTGAATATCAATCAGTGTTGCATATTGCTACAATAACGTTTGAAATGCGATATACATTTTCAACACCTTGAATTGTATTAGACTTCAAAGAATTTATGTTGATTACCGTTAGACAATTGAGTTCGAATAATTTTTGTTTTATAAACAATTATTTAATTATTTGATGGAAGGTTAAAAAACAAAGGCATCAACCGAGCGCGTTAATATAAAATAAGAGAATGCCAAAGGGAGGTCATGGCTCAAACACAACATAGCTCACACTTTCAGACATTGCGTTGAGCTGGTGGGAATAAAAATAAAAGGCCTGAGCAGATTTGTATACGATTCAAGGCTCTTTGTCGACTTATATAATCTGATCACAGTTGTTATCTTTATTAGCTTCACAAAAGGGCGATCCTCATATTGAGAATGAGCCTTTAAATATAAACTAACCTAACCTAACTCTATTTAAATGTTTAATTGCCTTCATCTCAGTTTGATCCTTACCAGAATTACATTACCATTTTTCTATAATCATAATTATGTGTACCTTTTTATTCAACCCTATATTTATCTTCTTCTTGTTTCTAATATATTGAACAGGGTATATTAAGTCTTCCCAGGAAACGTGGGAAGCCTTATAAAGTTAGTATATATATATATATATATATATATATATAATTGATTAGCGTGACATGCTGAGTCGGTTTAACTGTTTAGCCATGTCTGTCTGTCTGTATATACACGAATGAATCCCTAAGTTTTTGAGATATCGATCTGAACTTTTGCACATATCCTTTTATCCACGAGAAGCTACTAGTTTTTGCTATATGAATAGAAATGCACCTGTAAAGGGTACTAAAGCTTCGGTGCAGTCGAAGTTAACATTTTTTCTGAGAGAGCGTACGACTTTTTAGGGTTGTGACGATTGCTTAATTGACCCTCATGACAGCGACCGTACCTACTATCTTGGCAGAGAGAGAGAGAGAGAGTGAGAGAGAGATAGAAAGAGAGATAGAGAGAGAGAGAGAGAGAGATATTACTAACATAAGTCGACGGATCCTAGAGCTCTTAGCTTCTATAGAACCACGTATTCGGCGATTTTTAAATTGTTATCTACTAAGTGAGCT